GCTCCTCCTCCGCTCCTCCTCCTCCTCCTAGTCCTCCTCCCCAGCCTCCTCCCGCTCCTCCTGCTGATACTCCCGCCGCATTTTCCTTCCCCCCCCCTCAATCAATCAATCAATAAATCGCTTGGTTGATTGATTGATTGATTGGTTGAAAAACAAAAACTAAAAATGAGAACGGGCCGATCTTTTTTTCCCGATTGATCAATCGATCAATCAATCAATCCACTCTTGTGCCTCCCTTCAACCCTCCACCCGTCCGAATTTTCCAAACAGAAAACGAAAAATCAGTCAATCAATCAATCAATTTATCAATCAAATTTATTTATGGATTGATTGATTGATTGACTGAGTGTGTGTGTGTGCGTGTGTGAGAGAGAGAGCGAGTGACAGAGAGGGAGGATCCCTGTCCACCCCTTCCCCCCCCCACCCCTTTCCTCCCTTCCCTCCTTCTGGTTTCCCTACCGCCTCCCGCACGTTCGTTAACCCCCTCTCGGTTTCTCCTCCCACTCCTCCTGCGCCTCCTCCGCACCTTCCCATTTCCACTCCCACGCCTACTCCCACTCCTAACCTCCTCCCCGTTTCCCCTCCTGCTCCTCCTCCCGCTCCTCCTCCCACTCCTCCCGCTGCTCCTCCCATGCCTCCTCCGCCCCTTCCCGTTTCCGCTCCCACTCCTTCTCCAGCTCTGCCTCCCTCACTTCCATCCCACTTTTTCTCCAGCTCCGCCTCCCTCTCTGCCTCTCGCTCCTCCTTCTCCCGCTCCTCCCGCTCGTCCTCCCGCTGCTCATCCACCAAACAATGTGACAAAAATTTCCCTACCCGCCTCCCGCGCGTTTGTTAACCCCCTCCCCATTTCTCGTCCTGCTCCTCCTCCGCCTCCCTCTCTGCCTCTCGCTCCTTCTCCCGCTCCTCCCGCTCGTCCTCCCGCTGCTCATCCACCAAACAACGTGACAAAGATTTCCCTACCCGCCTCCCGCGCGTTTGTTAACCCACTCCCCATTTCTCGTCCTGCTCCTCCTCCCGCTCCTAGCCTTCTCCCCGTTTCCCTCCTTCTCCTCCTCCCGCTCCTTCTCCCACGCCTCCTCCACCCCTTCCCATTTCCCCTCCCGCTCCTTCTCCGGATCCACCTCCCGCTCTTCCTCCTGCTCCTCCTCCCTCTCCTTCTCCCACTTCTCCCGCTCCTTCTCCCGCTGCTCCCGCTCCTCCTCTGCCAAACAACGTGACAAAGATCCCGCCATGACCATCTCCTATGAATAAAAAAAAACAGAAAAAAGCCTCCCACCTCCTCCTCTGCCCCTTCCCGTTTCCCCTCCCGCTCCTTCTCCAGCTCCTCCTCCCACTCCTCCTTCTCCCACTCCTTCCACTCCTTCTCCTGCTCCTTCTACCGCTCCTCCCGCTCCTCCCGCTCCTCCCGCTCCTCCGCCAAACAATGTGACAAAGATCCCGCCATAGCCATCTCCTACGGAAAAAAGAAGGCCCACCACGTGGCTATCCACAGAGAGAGAGAGACTGACCTCCCGCTGCTCTTCCACCACAACTTCATTCTCCTCCCGCTCCTCCCGCTCCTCCTCCCGCTCGCGCGCCTTCTCCCACTTGTCCTCCCGCTCCTCCCGCTCCTCCCGCTCCCGCGCCTTCTGCCACTTGTCCTCCCGCTCCCGCTCCTTCTCCCGCTCCCCCTCCCTCTCCTTCTCCCGCTCCCCCTCCTGCTGCTGCTCCTGCTCCTCCTGCTCCTCCTCCTCCTCCTTCTCCCGGTGCTTTTCCTGCTCTTCCCCCCATTCCCGCCTCTCCTCCCGCTCCTTCTCCCGCTCCTCCCGCTTCTCCTCCTCCTGTACCTCCTCCTGCTCACCAGGATCCCCTCTCCTCCCTCCATCTTCCCTCTTCCTCTATCCTCACCAGGATCCCCTCTCCTCCCTCCATCTTCCCTCTTCCTCCATCCTTACCTCCGTCATCCATCCTCCCCCGTGCGTGGTCGCACTCATGACTGTGCATGTCAAAGATTACCGTCGCACGCCCGTTTGCTCTCTTCCTCACCCGCTCCTCCTCCCTCGATGTTTCCTGATTCCGAAGTTTTGGGACGTCTACAGCAACACCCAGCGTCCAACCGGGGGGGCCAACGGGAAAGAATTGCTAACCTGCACGGTGCCCAGGAAACGTCAAGGGATCCTGCCCAGCTGGTCCACCGTGAAGCGACACGACTGCCGCCACGGTCCCGTACCTGGCCCTTGCTTCAGGCCCGCCCCTCTCTCGCCCGTGGTTGCCCCCGCGGCTCCCCATGCGACCCGCCGGTCCCTCTGGATTTCCTCCCGGGTACCGCGGGCCCCTGCCACGGTTTCTCGTGTGCACGTGGTCGCATGTGTTGCTGGGCCCTTTGTAACTTTTGAGAGTATAGAGATAGAGAAGAGATAGAGATAGAGAAAAGATTTTGAAAAATGGTGCTCAACATACTTCAGAGCCCTCGTCCCACTCGCACCGCTGAGTTGAGCTACCTCAACGGTGTGACAGCTTTTCAAGCATTTTTTTATTCCGTAGAAAAGAAGAATGCATTTGTTTTTTATTTTTCTTTTCCCGCCCACACATTTCTTTGGAGTTTTGGTTTTCTTTCCCCTGGAGCAAGTCGATCCATGTCACTGCTCCTGTCGGCTCCTGCCGTCGTCTCTCTAGCGGCTATGGCCCCAAGATCATCTCTCGCACTATGTTCACCACAGTGTGAAAAATCAAAGCATCTTTCAAAATTGCTCAACCCCCCAGACTGCTGCTGTACCGTCCCTTACATTTCTGACGGTTGCGGCCAAGAAGATTTTCTTTTTTTCAAATTGCATATTTTAATCGCACAAGCTGTGCACCTCTCATACGTCCCCACCACCCCATTTGCTCCCTCTTTTTTTTTTTTTTCAGATTGACAGCACTGCAGCAGGAAGAAGACAGTGAACCAGGAGACTCTGAGAGAGGTTCTACCTAGGCCATTTTCCCAGGCGCCCAGGCACCCAAGTTGTGCCCGGAAACACGCCCGGGTGACCGGCCAGGCATGACCCCCGGGCAGGGGTCCCGGGCAGCCCCAGCCCCAGCGCCAAAAAAAAAAAAAAAAAAAAGTTCTGGGAAAAAAAACATGTTGTAGAATTGCAATACAAACAACCTTTGGATGAGGGTCACATCAGAATTCCTCGCGGAACTGAAGATAAAAAAGAAAATAACCGAATCACACCAAGGCACCCCCCTTTAAACCCCTTTAGCCCCTTTTAAAATATTGTATACCCCTTGCCCCCCCCCTTTAAAGCCAACACTCGAAAAAAGAAAAGAGCCCGGATTTGGGCTCCTCTCCGAGAGCACAGAAAACCCCCATCGCCGAATTTCTTTTTCCCCTATTCTTTTCCCCATGCCCGGGTATCCCGGGCGTCAGACTCCCCCGGGCATGAATCATGCCCGGGTGAACGGCCGGTCCAGACCGGACCGGCCAATCACGAAAATCTTCCGAGGGTTCTACGACATTCTCCTCTTTTTTGAAGTTTTCTCTCTTTCCCCTACTATCATCCTCCCCTCTAGCCTTCCCCTTGCACTCTCCTCTCATTTCTCCCCTGCCATCCATCTAGCAACCTGGTGGGCATAATACGTCAAAATGACATCCGCTCCTGCACGTCTGATGCACAGAAGAGCCTCCATCGCAGCCTTCTTCTCATCGAGCATGCCAGCAGCGGAAGCTGCCTTCAGCATAGAATATTCTCCACTTACCTGGATTGTGACCCAAAATCAAACAGCAATACACAAAGTCAGCGAGAGAGAGAGAGAGAGAGAGAGAGAGAGAGAGAGAGAGAGAGAGAGAGAGAGGGATTCGAAGAAAAGCAATATGGAAGAAGAAAAACATACTCATAGAGTCATACATACTTCACCAGACACTGCATTTTGTTTAGATGTTTATTACAACCGCAATACGATACTCTTTGAGTTTATGGCACACTGGCCTCTCCTCGGGGAATGGCAGTGTAATTCTTTTTCAAGAATTCGCACCAGAAGAAAACATCTCACAGAAGCTCTTGCCCATGTATAGAGGGCTGTGGCCTGTCCTAGAAGTCAAAGGTGGAAAAGATGGACCATCATATACGATAGAAATTCCAGCTCACCTCCATACATATCCGGTCTTTCATGCATCAAAGTTGCTGCCTTGTGTCACTAGTGAACAGTTTCCTTGCACGGAGATCTATGATTCCGCCAGATACGGATGGCACCTATGACATAGACCGAACACTAGAAGATGTATTCCGCACGAGAGGTAGACGTCGTCCGCAGAAGCAGTACAAAGTCAGGTTTGCTTACCAGGAACCTGAGAATGACAGATAGTTCACTAGAACAGGACTTCTAGAGACCACCCCCAATGTATTTCATGCTTACGAAAGAGCAAGAAAAGGTGAAGGTCCTGCCTTGGATTAAAGAGTTGTCGGAGGACCTCAAATTTAGGACAGCGGGAGTGAAAGGGTTTCACCCAGTTCGCACAACATTGCAGATACCTGACTCGATCCCCAGACCTTCCCTAGCCCACTGTATAGTTGCCCGTTGACCCTGTGTGCTTTGAACCCGCGACCTGTCCCTAAAACCGTGTACAAATGTTTTGAGTGTGCAGCTTGGGTCGTGTGGATTTGATCCGTAGATTAGTTGTTTAGAAGCCTTAAGGGTCCAACTCGTCTGTAAGTTTCCTAAAATGGCAAATTTACAGTTGACCTTTCCAAAGGTCAACTAGCCATATGTCCTCTGAAGGGTCAGTAGGTTGTGGGCCTTGTGGCTAAAAGTGCTCGAAGAGTCCACTTGACCTCTCGCAGGTTGAAAGGGCAGTCTGTCGATCTCTGCAAGGTCAAGAGTTCCAAGTCAACACCGAAGGGGCAAGTGAAAGGGCAGTCCCAGTCCAGTCGGTTTTGCAGCAAGTACCAGAGTGGGACTGCACATCTTGAGGGCCTGGGGCATCGGGCAGGCCCAGACCACCAAACGAAACAGTATAAATAAAGAGACAGCGATCAGTCATTCACTCATTATCTGGGGAACTACGCGGAAGCGCAGCTCGAGTGACTTGTGCACTGTTGAGCGCATCGGCTCCCGCCTTTTCTCGCAAAAGGCGAGAGCCCTCCCGGCCATGTCACGCAGGAGTTAAACAATAACTTTAGAGACAACTTGGGAACGACGCAAAATAACACCACGAACAGCCGAGGCGAGCGAGGTCGCGTTGTCCCTTCACCGATCTAGCCGGGTGCGCCAGCTGTACTTCCCGCGGTCCCCTACGACAGGATAGGTTCCCGTGGGGCACAACTTAGCTTCCCTAAGGGGCTGCCACCAACCTTAGGGGCGCATCCCTACCGAGCTAGGTCAGTACCGGTTGTCAGCAAGAGAGCCCGAACGTGGAAGAGGACAAGCGGCCATAGCCGCTAGAGAGGAGGAAGACGACGGCAGCCATAGCCACCAGTGTGACGAGCTAGTAGTTAGCGTGTGTGTATGTGCGGACATTCAGGGTAGATCCAAGTGTTGTGTGCGTACGTGCGTGTGAGTGTGTCTGACAGTGGATACAGTGTTCGCGTGGGAAGTCCAGACTGGCACTCAGACGCCATCACCATGAGATGTGACAAGTTGTTGTTTTTTAGCTGAGTTCCTGGCCAAAGGCCATATCTCTGAGTTTTTTTGTGTGGGCGCACTGCGCTATCTCAAGTCTGTCGCTGATTCTGCGTCTGTGGAAGTTTCTGTTGCCATCGCCAGCTGCATGTATGCATGTTGAATGTGAGGTGAAGACAAGTCTGATTGCAATTTAGTATTTACTTTTTCGGAAGTTTTCCTCTTCTTTTATTTATAAAACTACGTTATATTCTTCTCTCAAATCCTTTTTGCCTCTCACTCTCAGGCTATACAGAGGGGACCCCTGCCAGCATAGGTGACTCTAGGTGACTCACAAAATTTAAAGGGTCCAGTTGCCCCCCTGTCCCAGCAGTGGTGGTCAGAGATGGGGTGAAACGGCCATCGGGGGTCCGGCTAACACAAAGCCCGAGCTATTTACTCTTTCCTGTTTACTGATAAGGAAAAACTTTCCAAAAAGCTTCTTGTTTTGTGCTGTTTTTTTCAAGTTTCCAGTGGATTTTACTTATCGAGGAAGGAAATAAGTTTTTTTTTTTTTTAATAGTAAAAAGGTTATGCAGGCTGAAGTATAGGCAGGCTCTACCCTGACGGCCAGTGCTATAATCACACTCGCACGACACACCCAGGGCAGAGCGGGCCAACCCAATCCCTCAGCGATCCTGCCCCACCCCCCAACTGTGTATGTTGTAAGCACAGGCAGCAGGACACTTTCTGTTTTCTTTTGTTTTGTTTTGTTTTTTGTGCTGTTTCTATCAACAAAAGGTTTGGATGGTGTGCTGCAAGCTGTCACCGTCAGTGTTTTTTTTTTTTTTTTGGCTGGTCCTTTCCAGTTCCAGTCGGTCATTTTCCCGGCAGGGAAAAGGTTTCCCAAACATATGAAGTGGTTTCACTGGTCCACTGTAATTGCTATTGACCCATCGGATGAAATTTTCCAACCTATAAAAACCTAGGTAGCACGGCTTATCTGGCCGGATAATCTGGTCGGATTATCGGGGGTTATGTTTATACGGAAATCCGGATGATTAAACAAATGGCCAAAAAAAAGCAAAAAAAAAATAAATAAATAAATGATATTGCGCATGCAAAATACAATAGAACTACGTTCCTATTTCATAAAAAGCTTGATAGGTCATGGAAGGGTTCAAATCTCAAAGGGGGTAAGATAAGGAATAAAGGGTTTTAGAGGGGAGATGCTTAACTCATTTTATAACTTTTTATCTAAAGATTATTTTCTTTTTCTGTTTTATTTTTTATCTTCTTATCTGTTGAGATATCAAAGTTGTTCGTATCATTGATATGAACAACATACTTTTTTTTCCAGAGTTTTTTGAATTAGTTTTTTTTTGGTAATTTTTTTTTTTTTTGCGCAGGGCCGGATTTTCCATATCCGGAATTAATCCGGAATTTTCATCCGGATTGAAAATTCCGGATAAAATTGGCCTGCCAGATATCCGGGTTTGCTACTCAGATAAAAACAGACAGTGGCCTGTTGACGATGATAGAGGGGCAGATCGCGACGATGATGACGCTAGCGGCGCAACAGAATGAATCACCTGGTATGCTGAGATGGGCAGGGGCGATGTATCACGTAGAAGCCGGATGACATCCAAATAAGGCATAGCTGGCTTAACCTGCAGAGAGAACCAAACACAGACAGGGCACAAAGAATCAGTTATGGAACATTTTGTTTAAGAGAAATATACAGTTACAAACAGTCAAAAACGTGACCAAAAAAAGACATGCAAGGGGGGCGGCCCAGGACGTTTTTCGGCTCCTGGCCGCCCCTTAAAAAATAACGGGGTGATTTTTCAGTGTCGTTTCACCCCACTGGACAGGGCCTAGAGGTCCGGACACAAGACTCTGCAGGTTTTTGGGGTGGCGGGTTTCACACAGGCCCAACCAATTTCAAAGCGGCCGTTTCGACGTGCCGCACGCCGCTGCTGCACGTTGCAGCGCGCACAAGAGCACGCGCGTGCGCGCGCGCGCGCGCGCGCGCGCGCGAGAGAGAGAGAGAGAGAGAGAGAGAGAGAGAGAGAGAACTGACTGTGCTGCCAGTTTGAATATGAAGTTATGACGGCGCCTCTGCGGGTGCTGGGAGCCTCGTTGACCGCAAAAGAAGGCCAGCTTCGAATGACGAGTGGATTATGCCCCCTGCACAGACTAAGCTGCAAGCTTGGGAAAATGAGCACATATCGCTCGTTGGGCGGGCCCTAGTGATCAATAACGTGGTGTTGGCCTCCCTGTGGTATAAATTGGTGTAGTGGCCCCTCACCAAACACGGGCTTAGGGCTCTTAAGAAACAGTTAGTGGCCTTCTTGTGGAGAGGGGACAGCCGGCTTCCACAGGTGATTAGTAGAGTGGCATGGGATTCAGTAATTCAGCCTAAAATTAGGGGGGGGGCTAGGGATTGTCGATCCTGCGACCCAACTCCAAGCCCTCAACATACGATGGATCCAGAGGCTTATTTTTGTGCCCTCTTCCCCTTGGGTCCCTTTGGCCTTGGCATAAATTGCGGACCTTGCCCCTCAGACACACCCCCAAATAGACCCGCTGGTGTGGCTGGAGGACAGATATTGGCGCATCCCGTGCAAAGTATAGGAATGGAGCGCCAGTGGAGAAGCATTGGCCGCGCCTTTTGAAGGCATGGAGACAGCTTCCTCTGCCTTCCAAACCAACCCTTGACAGGTGGGAAAAAGTGTACAGACAGCCCCTCTTCAGTAACAAGTGGATCACCAACTCCCAAGGTCCAGTAAGGTGCAGCTCTGATCCTCCGTGGGCGAAGCATGGGCTGCTATGGGTAGGGGAGTTATGGGATGTAGAGGGAAAAGATTGGAAGAGAGTCAACAGAATGAAAGGGTGGCTGCAGTATTGCCACCAAACACAGAAGATGCTAGAAGAACTGATAGAGAGCCTCCCTCTGGCATGGTACACCATATTGAGAAAGGGTCCCTGGCTGGAGGAGGGAGACTGGGTGGGTTTGAACCGGGAAAAGGACCGTGTGGGACGGCTCCACCTAGTGGGAAAGGAAGAAGTGCTGGTGGAGCTCTATGCGATAGGGAGAGAAGACTGGCTAATCGGACGCAGACAGCCCTTTGAGTGGAGGGAGAGAAGTGAGGTGTACCGTATCAGGGTATTGGAGGGGGACATACGATTGAAGGCATACAGGCCCGACACCCCGATTGCGGAATTGCCCCTGGACCCGGGAAAATGGAGATTGGCTTCAGGATAGTAGGGGGGTCAAGGGAGAGGAAGACCACAGAAAGAAGTACAACTCGCAAATCTGAAGGCAGAGTCGGCGTATAGGATGCTAAGGAGTAGGAGATGCCTTCGGGATGTGATGGAGGACAGGTGGCATCGCCACTCGAATGTGGACAGGGGCCTACTAAGACCTATAAGATGGTTCCAAGAAAACAAGCTAGGACCTGCAATAATCTCCTCGCTGTAGTGGCAAATAGTCCACCGCTGCCTGCCCACAAATGACTGGCTGATCGACCACACACAGCTAGAACAAGGACGTGCGTTGCCATGGTGCAAAAGTTGTATGCGTACATTCCCTCCGCATAAGACACCCGAGACGGTGGAACACATTTTCACGCAGTGCCCCTAAGCAGTACTGCTATGGCAGTGGCGGGACAGGATCTGGCGGCAGATGTTCCCAGACTCACCATGGCCATGAGATTGGAGGGTGATCTTGATGGGACATCGCTCAGGCATCTCGGAAAATGCTTGTGAAGAAAACCACTTCCGCCTGGGTAGACGATCCATCCTATGGGTAATTTGGTGGAGGAGGTGTGTCCTGGAAAGGGAAGGAGCTAGAGTGGAAGTAACGGAGCAGCTCAAGCAATTGGTGCAGACAGAGATTACAACCCGTTCGCAGGCGGCACAAGAAAGATTGGACATTGTCCATTTCAGGGGAGATGCCGATTAGATCATCTCCCGGTTCTGCGAGGAGTGGCTTGGAAAGAAGAGAGGCGGGTGGATGGCAAGGGTGGCATGGTCAGAAGACGGGCAAAGAGAGCATTACATGGAAGAAGAGGAAGGGGCTCCCCAGAGGGATGTGATACGGGACTACAGGCTACAGTTTCACGACTGGATGACCATTGGCCCGGGTTTTCCCCTCAGACCCGCGCAGGATTTTGGGGACCCTTTTACCCCACACCCATTGTCATTAACAGAGATACAGGGGGAGGGATAGCAGCGGTGAGCCCGTGTGGACTCAGATCGACTCATTTGGAGTAGGTGGGGACGCTGGACCCGGTTTCCAGCACATGCGTTCTATTTCAACTCATCTCATGATTTTTCTTATGTTGTTATGTTATCCTCATGTTGTCTCAGGAGGGACACTGAGCCCGGTTCTCAGCATATGTGGAGCAAAACAGCAGGTAGTGTAGTTAGTGCTTTTTGGAAGGCGGGCCGGGGAACAGACAGGGACCACTGGTGTCCCCCAGGGGAGCTGGCTGGGCCCTGGCCTTGGGCCTCAGTTTTAGGAATGCAGGACAGACAGTGATGGGACGCTGGACCCGGTTTCCAGCACCTGTGTTCTCTCTCAACTCATCTCATGTTTTTTCTATGATTTTTCATGTGGGACGCTGGCCCCGGTTCTCAGCATGTGCTGCTCCTCACGGATAGACTGGAGCCATTTAAAAAAAAAAAAAAAAAAAAAAAAAAAAAAAACAGAAGAAGAACTTAAATTACTTATTTCAAAGTTCAAACTTCGACGTATGTCATACAAAGGTAAGCAGAGTAAACTCATGCAGTCAACGTCATAGACGCTGGACATGTACACAGATGTCAACTCTATGATTGTAGAATAGAAAAAGTTGCCGGGAATCAGGAATCAGGTTCGGCGTCCCCGACGCCGCGTTTCGGCAACCGCCACGTTGCCATCCTCAGGGGGTAACCACCTTTCTTCTCCCTCAAACCGATACCCTCATTCCCGTCACTCCCACTTCCGCTATCCATCTCCTACACTCCGGAATGTCGGTAGATTTCAGCTACGTCAGTCCTGAAAGAGGTCGACTCCTTCGTACATTATACCGTATTTATCCCAACAGAATCAAGTCAAATGCACCCGTGACGCGTACAAACAGAATTCACACCAAACAGGAAAAAGAAGAAAAAATTGTCCTGGTACCCAGCCCCCTAGCCACGCCAGGTACAGATATCTGCGGACCAAGCGGGCGCAAGTGCCGGTTACCAAACTGTTACTAAGCTACGTCCCCCTCAGCAGCAATTCAAAGCCTGCCGAATCTTCAAAAGTACCGTCCTCAAAAACACAGAAAACCGGATCCGTGGGACCAGTGCGTCCCAAGCCAGGCCAGTGCCCGGGTAAATCGGCTCAGTTCATCAGGGGAAAAAAACAGAAAACAGAAAGACAGAAAACCGAAAAACAGAAAAGCAAAGCAGTCACTCAAACACATCATCACAGCCTACCTTTTTTTTTTTTTTTTCCCATCACAGCCTACCTTCCCTAATCAAAGACACACCTTATCCAAAGCAAGTAACAACACACCCTATCCAAAGTTTTCAAACTGAAGGTACAAGTACAACCCAACTACTGCAAGTAGCGATCCACCCTATCCGATGTTTTCCACCCAAACTTCAAAGTTAATCATAATTTTTTCAATTTTTTTCCCCTCTGTTTCTTTAGTCTTGTGCCTGTTTGCGACACTGCATGTCTGCTAGTTGAACATGCTTGTTGATTAGCAGCAAGACCGTTGCTCCGCCGCCTGAACAACAAAGTGCAAATCAAGGGAGTGCCTGCCAACACCCACACCCACCCAGCCACCCCCTCCCGTTTTTTTGTTTTTTTTTTTTGGTCCAGACATTTTGTACCCACTGACACCGGTCAGGACTGTCCGGGTCCGGATATGTCCGGGTGTCCGGTGGTGTCCGGATCACTGGACAGTCCGGACCGGTCCAGACACTAGTCCGGAAGTGTCCTGTGTCCGGGTCCACAGTTACCATGAGCATCACAAAGAGATTTAAAAAAAAAGAAAAACAAATTCTCCTGAAAGAAAAAGATGCAGCAACATAGACTGGAAGACCAGTGCAGTTACGCCACAGACACTTGTTTGGAGAGAAGAAAGAAGAGGTGATTCAAGGTTTGAGGGGAAGGGGAAGAAGGGAAATAGGGGGAAGGGGGGGAAGGGGAGAAAGGGAAATAGGGGGAAGGGAGGGAAGGGGAGGAAGGGACATAGAGGGAAGGGGAGGAAGGGAAACAGGGGGAAGGGGGGGAAGGGAAGGGGGAGAAGATTCTCCTCTGTGTCCTCTGTGTTTGCAACAGGAGCAGTGGGAGCACGCAGAAAATGAACTCCTTGGCGGAAAACTCTTTCGAAGAACAAACAGCAGTACCAACTGGCCTAGCTCAGTTGGTACACCCCTGACCTGAACCGTTGAAATGCAGACCTGAGTTCCAACTTCACTGGAAGCAGATGAGGGAATTTGGGAAAGAAAAAAGGCATGGACATGATGGAAGGCAGTGAAAAGGAATGGGCTCAACATGCAACATGCGACACGCAGCGTTTTTTAATTTTTTTTTAATTTTTTTTTTAGCATTACAAAATGGTAATGATGAGTTCAGAGTCTTCAGACGGCCCGAAATGCACAAACCCCAAACAAGAACTTTCGTTTAAACATAACCTAAGACACGAAGAAATGGAAAGCAAAAGGAAAAAAACAAGAAGGAGAAGAAGACGACAACAACGAGGATGACGACAAGGACGATGATGACAACGAAGAAGAAGAAGAAGAAGAAGAAGAAGAAGAAGAAGAAGGAGCTCACCATCAGGATGTCAGCGCCCTCCTTTTCATCAGCCTTCGTCTCGATCAATGCCTCTCTGTAGTTCCCTGGATTCATCTGGTAGCTATAACGGGAAATCAATCACCATAACGTTGGGCACGACAATACAAACACAACACAAACGGAAAAAAAGAAAAAACAACATTTAGAAGACCATGTGTGTCTGTGTATAAGCAACTGAGCAAGGAAGCATGGGACGAGAGAGAGAGAGAGAGAGAGAGAGAGAGAGAGAGAGAGAGAGAGAGAGAGAGAGAGAGAGAGAGAGAGAGAGAGAGAGAGAGAGAGAGNAGAGAGAGAGAGAGAGAGAGAGAGAGAGAGAGAGAGAGAGAGAGAGAGAATTGCGACACGAGTGTTGACACGACTTGCGGAGGATTTGCGGTGTAAGGAGATTACCCGCGAGTGTCAGGCCTCTGATGAGCCGGTGAAATTCCGGCGAAACACTCATTGCTCTTGTTTGGGTTAGGCAGTAGGAGACTCGTGTGTGAGTGGTAGCGCGCCAATTTTTTGGTACCGGCTAACACTGACCCGGTTTGCTGCTGGACTTTGCGCCGCGAAGTTGTGTGGTAGTGGATGGCGCCGCGTCGCAATTGCGTCGCGAGTGTTGACACGACTTGCGGAGGATTTGCGGTGTAAGGAGATTAGCCGCGAGTGTCAGGCCTCTGATGAGAGAGAGAGAGAGAGAGAGAGAGAGAGAGAGAGAGAGAGAGAGAGAGAGAGAGAGAGAGAGAGAGAGAGAGAGAGAGAGAGATGCCAGAGAGCAGACCAATGCGGACGAAAACCAACATCAATTCTGGAAGTGCTTAGCTGACGTTAAAGCGAAGCAGAGAATGGGGAGGGAGAGAGAAGGGGTGTTTTTTTTATTGGGGGGGGGGGGGGGGGAGAGAGAAGGGGGGAAGAGAGAGGGGAAAAAGAGGGAGTGAGAGAGAGGAAAAGAGAGATAGAGGAAGTGAAACACTCAACTAACCATTCACCTTCTAAGTAAGAGAAAAACATCAACTGCATTCTCTCAACAGGGGTTGGCAATGGAGAGCTCCTGTGTGAAATGCTCCTCCATCAAAGGCTCTCTGGCAGATGCTGACAAGTTGGGAAGCACGACAGAAAAAAAAATGACGTGACAAGTTCAGCAGAAATGAGAGGCGAGAGAGGAAGTCAGAAGAAAAGACAAACAGAAATCAATTGGGAAAGCACAGGAGGGATAATTCTTATGCAAAAACTCGTGAGAGTTGCAAAAATTGCAAACATTGCAAAAATCGCTTACGTCTTCTTGTCTCCAAAGCGCGGGTTGGAATCAAGAGCTTCTCGGAAAGGTCCATAGAAGGCACTAGCATATCTGCAGATATCAGAACCGACCAAGCACAGAGCACCACTCTCACAGTGAAGAAAAGACTAAATGACATTTTTATTTTTTTGCATGTTAGATCTTGCAGGGATGCCACGCCGCATTCCGGATAAGCCAGACACTGAAAAAATAAAAATTAAAATTAAAAATTAAAATTGAAAATTAAAATTTAAAAATTGAAAATTGAAAATTTCAACAAAAAAAAAAAATCATCCAATTGCATGCACTTGTCAAAAGATCACATAATTTCTACCAGCGAATTACTGCCAGTACATGCTATTTTATATATTAGGAAAGAAAAAAAAAAAAGAGGAGTTTGGAAATCTGTGCTGGGAGGAGAGAATAGATATCCTCAAAAAATGGGAAGACTTTGATACAAGACTGACCTGACAGGACTGACCTCATTCACGTAGTTCAGAGTAACGAAGCAGAATGCTAGAGTACCTCTAACTAGCCCAATCAATGTTTGAACTCAGACTAAACATGCCTTGTGCCCATCACGAAGTGTGAAGGAGCCTGGCGCTACACACAGGAAGAAAGCGCCAGGTCCAGACATACACAGACGAAGAGATAAGGAACAGACGAAAGGAGGGAAGAAGATGGGAATGTCGTTAACACCAAGTCTTGGTCACCAATCCCAAATAGTCCCTCGTTGCCATGTCTGAACCCTCGAAAGTCGAGTCTGGATCCAATGTCACCAAGCTCTGTATCTCTTCTCTCATAGTCTGCAGATGCAGTGGAGTCAGAAGTGAGAGGGAGAGAAGAGATGGTGGACTGAGAGGAAGAAGAAGAAGAAGAACTCTCTCTCTCTCTGTTACGAACCAAGTACTAACCTGTGATGTTGGCGCTGTGCYGCAGGTACCTCGAAGACGAAGCTGGAGCAACGGCGCTGCAGGTAGGTACCTCTGGCATCCGCCCAAGCTCTCTCTCTCTCCCTCTAGTACTACCTAGCTATGGCGCCCGACGCTGGAGACTACAGCTACCTACTGCGCCCAGCGCTGAAGACTACTAGCTAACGCTACCACTACTACAACGCAGTGCTCCCTCCAGAGTGCTGCACCCGAATCCTGAAGACTACAACTGCCGAACTGCCTCCTCGGAAGTGCCTGGGAAGTCCTATGTACTACCTCGGCCTGCCCCCTGACTACCGGAGGGCAGTCAGGCCGAGGAGGCAGCTCTTGCCAATGCCGAAATGTGCCAGGGGCTGGCGTGCAGCAGCCTGCTTGAGGCTGGCGTGGGAAACAGACTAATAATAGTCTGTTTCCGAAACCCTGGTTCGGTGCCTGAGTTTCAGGGCCGGTCGTTCTGACGAACAACCGAAAATGGCCCTTCGTTTCAGGCTAAAAAGGCTGTTGCCATTTTTAGTCTGAAACGACCAGGGATAGGCCCTGGACTTCAGGCTTTTGGCCTGAACCGACAGGGGGCCTGTAAGCCCTGGATTTGCTTTCAGCCTGAAATTCAGGCTTTCGGCCTGAAGTTCAGGCTTTTGGCCTGAATGCTGTCGGGCCTGCAAAATGGCCCATGTGTGCACGCGCTGCATGTAACAGACACACACATATAGCTGTTTACCAAAACAAAAAAAAACAAATACAGCTGCTAGGCTACCAGAGTGGCCCAGGGTCACTCGCCCGGCCGGGCCAAAAAAATTAAAAAATAAAAATAAAACAATTATTTTTAAATTTTATTTGTTAATTTAAATTTGGTGAAGAATTTCGATGTAACCCTGAGGCAGAAGTTGTTCAGTTTATTTTTCTGCATACTATAGTTTTCTTTTTTTTCTTTTTTTTTTTTTCCTTTTTTTTCTTTTTTTGTTGCTGGGACCTTCCCTGGTCCTTGCACGGGCTGGCCACCCAGGACCCGGGCGGCCCGGCTGGTAGCCTAGTATAGCTGTTGATAAGCAGATCCAGATCTCGAGTCCTGGGGGTCAGGGAGGGCTCCATTGAGTCCAATGAATGCTGACAAGAGTAAACAGACCGCTGTGGAGGTGTTCAATGCCCTCACAATTTTTATTTTTTTGCTTTTTAGTTTACACCGAACACACTCACCCCGTCTTATTCTGCGGCCAGGTCCCATTAGCAGTCGGATAGGAGTGTGGCCGATCCAGTGTGACACTGAGTGGCAGCGGCCGGACAAGTTCATTACGAATTTCTGGGCTGAGAAAACAGGAAAAAGGCCAAAAAAAAAAGAAGAAACAGAGACCTCCCACTGGAAATCACAGCAGTGTGCTTCCCAGCCATCAGATCACAAATGATCTGATAATGGTGGTTGCAAAAACAGTGAACAAAGTAACAGCCACATTTTCTGGAATAAACTTGACTTCTGTCAGCACTGATCCTGACACCCTCCATATATATATACTTGGTGATTGAAGGAGGGCTCCACCCAATGAGATAATTGCACAACAGCAAGTAAAATGCTGAAAATCTTCTATCCAGTGGGCTAAGGCCGACCCCAACCTCGTTTGGGGTTGGCGACACCCCCAACCGATTGAAAAGATTCTGGCGGGAAGCTGTCTTTGCTCGGGCACGCCCAGTGTTAAGGAGAGGAGGAGGGGAACGAAGATCTCCTTACTTTTTCGGGTAATACATGTAAAATACTGACGGTGGGATCACGAGTAGTGCACGGCAGGATTTGGGTCACTCAACTGCCCCACAAACTCGTTTCTATCCCATCCCGTTGCTGGTGGGACCTCGCCCCTGGGGGGGGGGCACAGCTCAATGTTCAGTGTGTAAACTGTGTTTGATGTAAAATAAAAAGCAAAAAAATAAACTTTGCAGCAAGCTATGTTCAGAAAAACAGACGAGAAGGTCAGGAGAAAGAGCAGACCAGACATGTTCGATGCCCTCGGAATTTTCTACTTGGCTATATCAGTATATGGGCCTCGCTGCACTACTCTCGAAATGTGCAAAACGAGAGTGAATCTTTCGCTAGAATATGGAAAGATACACCACCATGATTTTTGTTTTTGAACTTTTTTCTGCATGTCTACAGTAGTGCAGCGAGGCCCTATTTCATCTTTCAAAAATCAATTTCTCCAAATTATATCGCCTTTTTACATTTCCTTTCTCCAACTAGTTTACCAGACTTTATCTTTAAAATTTAAAAATACTTTCTCTGAATTACAGACTGCTTGATTTTCTTTGACTTTGACTTTCTTGTTTTGGTATGCTCTGATGGTGAAAGAAAGAACTGAGGGAACGGACAACAGATGAGAAAACAATGAGTGAAACATTTTTTGAAGCTGGCAAGAAAGGCCGAAAAGAAAGAACAAAAAAAAGAAAAACAAAGGAAAAAGGAAAAAGGATAACGAGTGCATAATACTTCATATGCCACATACTTTGCAGTGTAAGACATGATCGCTACGTCTGTGTAACCTTCTCGGTCCAGAGCAGTTCGAATAGCTCCAACGCGACCATCCATCATATCACTTGGACTGACGACGTCAGCACCTGCTTCAGCCTGCGCAAAAAGATGCATTGTCAGCTACCCAACCATAAATTGCCCGATTTTGAGACATTCCTTCTTTTCTCAATGTTTTTTCTTCTTCCGGGAAAGCGAAACACATAGCTGTCTCCTTCTATCCTCGGGAGCACAAGTTCCTAACTCCCCCTCCCCCTTGCTCCATCCCCTGCCCCCCATCTATCTCTCTGTGCCTCTTTGGCTTCAAACACACACACACACAAACTTCTCTCTCTCTCTCTCTCTCTCTCTCTCTCTCTCTCTCTCTCTCTCTCT